TATATTATTATATATTATATATGTATATATAAATACATACTCTATTTAAGGTAGTATCATATATATATTAATGATAAAATATTATTATTTGATTATTAACTTTTTATTAATATATTAATAATTAAAGATTAAATTTTTAAATATATATTTTTTGATTTCTCGGACCGGGGCATTGTCCCGGAATTAACTAGTGTATACTACTTTCTTACGAGGAAACTTCTGTGCCGTGTTGACCACGAGTATGTAGGGGTGGGCACGCTTCTTGGTTAACTGATTTTTTTTTTTTTTTTGTTATTAAAATTTAAAAGTTATTAATTGAACTGAAAAAATCAGTTTTTATCAATTTTGATCATTTTTAAAAAATAATAATCAGAATCAGTTTCTTAATTTTTTTATTAAGTTTTTAATAATCGGTTTGTTGGGAAATGAGATTTCTTCTTATGGTCGAGGAGAGGTTGAAGATGTTTGGTGGCTTTGAGTTTGAGATTGTAAGGAGAGAACCTCGGAGTCTCACTGTCGTTACTGTCTATGCAAGGGTCCTCTAACTTGGACTTCCTTTACTTTTTTTCATTTTACGTGGGTGACGTGGGTGGGATCGAACCCGCCCAAGAAGAGGACGGTATGCACCTTGCAATGTGGCGGAAGCCACAAGGTTTGAAGGGACAAATGCTAATTTTTTAATTTATTAAATACAAATTTTAAATAAAATTAATATTTTATATAAATAATAATTAAAAATTTTATATCAAGAACTACATAAAAAAATATTTTTAATTATTATTCATATAAATTATTAAAATTTTATTTAAAATTTATATTTAAAAAATTAAACTAATTTTATTAAAAAAAACAGTAAAATCTGAAAAAAAATAATAAAATAAAAAGGCTTTGACATCAAGCCTAGGTTATGGAGGTGGCGGACTACAGACGATGGGAGAAAGACTACCACAACCATCACTTTGTAGTATGTGTACTCTAACAGGCATTACTGGAGACAATTTCGAAAGAAACGAACTCCCTGTACCATATAAAT